CTAAATGATGATGAGATATGGGAAGCTACCTCAAAGACTTTGTATGGAAAAGCCATTTCCATAGAAACTGCTACTCTCAGTGAATATGCTAGATATGTACTAAGAAGCATTTGTCAGCAGGTAACACTGGTCTTCGTTTTCCTTTATTATTGTGTACATAGACATAATTTTGCAAAAGTAACATTGTTGCCATACTCCAGGGATTGTGAAAGTCGGTGACTGCAGGCTTTTTCTGTTGTGCATTGGTCTGTGTCTCCATGTGGAATTGAAGCAGTTACTCTTGCCAGTATATTCTGATAAGTGTGAATAGGATCAATGTGGAGTAAGTGTTGGCATAGGACCAAAGACAATTGGTTTCCAATCTCTATTCAGCCATGACCAATCTCTGTTTTATAGCCTAAACTGGGGCTAAGAGTATGATGATATAATGCCATGATGTATGCATTTTAACTCTTGCAAAGAAAGGTGAGATATGAATATATTAGATGCAATAACTACCACACTGAAAAATCATATTTTATTCAAAATTATTTCAAACCATGTATATAGTGGAAATGACATCTACTATATTTGTGTTCAAGTCAGTTCTTCAGTATAAGTACTGAAGCTACATTGCAAGATGAAGTTAGACTCATTTTTTGCCATAAAGAAGTAATATCCAGTATGAACTCCATTCTTTCTGAAAAATACTGTGTTTTTGTTATACACTCGAGTTACATTCAAATTACACAGTTAAGTTTGGCTTTGACTTTTGTACTGATGCTTATTCTCCATCAAATTCTTTTGGTAGGAATGGGTGGGGGAACACTGCTTGAAAGAACCTGAGAGGCTATGTACTGACAAAGATCTTATCCTGGATCCAGTTCTCTCCAACAAACAAGCACAGAAATTGTTGCAGCTTATCTGTTACCCTCACAGTATTAAAGAATGTGCGGAAGGAGACAATCCTCAGAGACAACACATCAAGCGCATTCTTCAGGTAACTACATTTAAAATGAATTTATTTTAGCTTAGATAAGAAAGAAGTTTGTGTTTGATTTGCTTTTTTTGTTGCATTATTGTTGCTTACTTTTTTTCTAAATGAAGTGAACACTTGGATTATTGTTTCATAATTATTCATAGCACTTAGACTTATATACTGCTTCATAATGCTTTACAGCCCTCTCTAAGTGGTTTACAGAGTCAGCATATTGTCCCCAACAATCTGTGTCCTCATTTTACCAACCTCGGAAGGACCTTGAGCCCATCAGGATCAAACTCCAGGCTGTGGACAGAGTTAGCTTGCAATACTGCATTCTAACCACTGCACCACTAGGAGTTGTTAAATAGAAACAGTGTGCAATTATAAAGGTGAAATAATTGATTCACAGAATGGAAGGGTTGAAAAGGACCTTGGAGAATTAACCAAATTGCCTCAGTCTGGGAATCTGCTATGGTAATACAGACTTCCTGACCATCATGCTCTGGCCCCTATTTAAATACTTCTTGTATTTAGGACAATTGTAGGACAATCTTTTTGATTGTTGTTTTTTGGATGCAATTAAGTTTGTCAGTGTCTTTGCTAAAATTTTGGTGCTCAGAACTATACACTATATTCTAGATATAACCTGATATAATATTGCTATTGTTTTTGGAGAGAGAAGGACAGCACTATTGTTGTGATGATCCATTTTTTATTCATGTAATATGGCCTACAATTTTTCTCCAATGCATCCTGGATCAAGCTGGAAAAATACGTTGAATGGCATACTACAAGGCTCTCTTTTAGGCCCAGTGCTATTCAACATATTTATACATAAGTGGTGGGGCTTATCTCCAAGGAGGATGAGTTTGCCTAGCAGGATGAAGTGGAGCGGTTGCTCTTGTGGTGCAGAGACAATAATTTGGTTCTCAACACAACTAAGACCAAGGAGCTTATAGTAGATTACAGGAGGAATAGATCAGACATTCAGCCCCTGATCATTAGCAGAGACTGTGTGGAGCAGGTGGCAAGCTTTAGGTTTCTGGCTGTTACCATAAAGGAGCACCTGACCTGGAGCAACATGACCTGCTCATGTTATAGCATTGGTTAAGAAGGCCCAACAGAGATTATATTTCTTGAGATTTCTCAGGAAACAAAAACTGAATGAAAAACTGCTGGTGACCTTCTACTGTTGCTCGATGGAGAGCATTTTAACCCATTGCATTTGTGTGTGGTTTGCTTGCTGCACAATAGCAGATAGGAAAGCACTCCAGACAGTTATTACTATCGCCCAGAGGATTATTGGCTGCCCTTTCTTCCCTCCCTGAACGAACTGTACAGTTCCCGTTGTCTTAGGAAAGCTCAAAATATTCTTAAAGACTCATCTCATCTCGGACATTCTTTTTTTGAACTATTACCACCTGGCAGATAATACAGGATAATAAAGACAAAGACAAATAGGCTGAAAAATATCCCAGAGCTGTAACCATATTAAATACCACTGTATACTACAACATTGAAGTGTAATATTAGGGGCAGTGCAATGGTGAATAGAATGTGAAGGATGTGTGTATATAATGTATGTTCTTATTTGTGGTTTTTACTTGTGTGCAGTGTGCACTGTGGACAGCATTTAATTTTGTTGTGAGTTACACAATGACAATAAAGATATTCTATTCTATTCTATTCTCTTGGATGAAGAAATATAAAATAAGATTATCACATCTGCAGGGGATGTAGAGATGGGTGTGGGTGGGAAGAGAAACATCATTTTGAGAAAATTATACAACTCAAGAGGATAATAAAAGATTGAAACAATCAGAAGAAACTAGCAAGTTGAATTTTCACACCAAGAAATACAAAGTCCTACATTTGAACATAGAAACTCAAAAGCATACGTACAGATGGCATTCCCATTGTTAAACTAGATTTGAATGGAAGACAAACTTTGATCAAGTGTATATTGCTATAAGGTCATATTCTCCTTCTCTAGCCCTATTTTCTCAATTTAATCCACCCACAGAATTCCACCAGCAGGAATTAACAAAATTAGCTATATCCAATATACATCTATAACAAAATATTTCATGTGACATAATAAAACCATATATCAACTTATTGATGAGAATAATAATTTTAGAAATGTTATGAAGAACAAAATTCTCCTCCATTTTTTGATTCAGAATATAGACCAGTGGACTCTTAGACAGTCATGGCTGGAACTTCAACTAATGATCAAACAGTGTCTGAAGGAACCTGTGAGTATTTCTTGCTTTCTTTTTAATTAATCATGTACCTTTACAAAATAACATAGTGTATGAGCAAACATACCATGAATGCGCTAGTTTACTTATGTTTTACTGTAGGGTTCTGGGTCTGTGGCTGAAATGAACAGCTTGTTGGATAATATTGCAAAGGCGACAATTGAAGTGTTTCAGCAATCCGCTGATCTAAACAATAACTCTTCTAACTCTGGTATAGGCCTCTTCAATCCAAACTCTCTTGGAAATGCTGACACACATATTACAAGGCAGAACTGTAAAAAGACATTCCTAAGGTAATGTAATCAATCAGAATTGGTAATGAAGAAATTATGTACACTTTTTTTTAAAATAGAAACACTTGAGAGGAGTCTACTCACAAAGGCTGCTGCTGAATAATTGTGGTTTTTCATTCTGAGAAATATAGTGTGCTGAACCAGAAAACTTCACGGAATACTAATTTCTTCTGCATGCAAAAACTATTGCCTCCAAGGAGTACCTGGGCATGCAAGAATTTCTTCATTCTCTTGACTGTTTACTAAATAGACGCTAAAGAGGATAAACACAGTGTTAGCTGCAGGTTAAATAAATACTTTGAGTCAATGAATTAAGAATTTAATAATCTTTCTCTGATTTAAAAATAAAATAGGTTGTTGAAATTAAGAAAATTTCATTTTAAAAGAACCTAAGCTGCACATTAGACCTGATTCCTCAGTGAACTCTATTATTTTTTAACTTTATGGAAAATAATTATTGGTTTAAGATGAGATATAATTTTTTTATTTTTCATTTCTAACAAGTGCATCCTTAATTGGAAGAAATAAGAAATTTCTATCTAAGTGGACAACATTCGGAGTGTCAGATCAGAAATTCTATATAATAGTGAAACTGAATTTAAACCATTCATTCATTCATTCATTCATTCATTCATTCATTCATTCATTCATTCAATTTCTATAGCCACCCATCTCATCAATGCCTCTGGGCAGCTTACAATTCAAAAATTAGTTGTAAACTTTTACTATTTTACCCGGTATATATCTTGCCTTTCCTTCTGAAGCATAAAGCTGCATACATAGCATTCTCTCTTCCAGTACTGAATATATTACGGTAATATTCTGTTCAAAAATCTTATTTGTTTCATGTCTTTAGCTCTTCTGAAAGACAAGGTGTCTGGTTAGTGGCTCCCCTGATTGCAAAGCTGCCAACGTCTGTTCAAGGTCGAGTCTTGAAAGCAGCTGGAGAAGAACTAGAGAAAGGCCAGCACTTGGGATCATGTTCTAAGAAGGAGAGAGACAGGCAAAAACAGAAGAGGTAGAAGATACTGGAAAATATGGCTGTATTTTAAACCAGTTAATCGCTTCTGCAACAACAAAGCATAGAATTTCTTTAAAGAAACCAGTAGAAACCAGATATTGTTTTGGGGGGAAAACCCAACTGTGTGGCATATTTATTTTTAAGAAAATGAACACAGTAAATTCTTAAATAAAATAAGGTCTACCTGTTACCTAGAAATATTGTTTTTTTGAAAACTAAACTAAATACTTATCCCGAAGATTAAGAAAAGAGCATCAAAGTAAGTCATTTTGTTCTTAATTTGCACATGAAGCTAACTACTTTTATCGCAGATCTACTTATCACAAACATGCTTTTCTTTTTTAAGTTAGTATTAGGATTGTACCTAGGAGTCTGGTAAATCATGACGTACTAAGATGTCTTTTAATGAAAAATATTCCACTAATTCATATTATAGGTGGGAAGTTGGTGGAATTTCCTTTCTTTCTGTTATCATCCACATCAAATTTTATATTTAAAAATTAAATTTATGCTATTAATTAGTATTAATTTTTCTTGAACTAATTATCAGAAAGAATTAAATAATACTTTGTTACAAAGGTGAGAAAGTGCTCCTTGTTAAATGTTTTTGAGTTGCTTGGTAACCTAAATAATCTCAGAAATTGCATACTATTTTTGTCACCATGAAAGTAAAATACAAAATGGAAGAACAGGGAAAACAAGAATCTTATACTTCTTTTCCTTATCTCTGATAGGATGAGCTGACTTGTCTCAAAGTACAAGAGGACTTGAGATGCTTATATTTCATGAGAAAAAATTGTCACACATCTCTCATTATTAGGCAATATTAAATCATTTGGTCGCGTTGGTTAATGATCTCTGGAGGGCCCGGGACAGAGGGTATTCCACTGTCCTTGTTCTTTTGGACCTCTCAGCGGCTTTTGATACTGTAGACCACAGTATCATGCTGCGGCGTCTCGGTGGGTTAGGAGTGGGAGGCACCGTTATGCGGTGGTTCTCCTCCTTCCTCACCGACCGTAAGCAGTCTGTATTGGCAGGGGGACAGAGGTCGACTCCTAGACCCCTAACTTGCGGGGTGCCTCAGGGGTCGGTCCTCTCCCCCCTTTTGTTCAATATTTATGTGAAGCCGCTGGGGGAGATCATTCGTGGCTTTGGGGTGGATTTCCATCAGTACGCTGACGACACTCAGCTGTACATCTCCACCCCAGGCCACCCCAA